CAGTTTTTTGAGAGAACTCTGAAGTTTTTTGTCATCAGCTGTAGCTGTTCTGTGCACCACCTTCTTCTTTCTGCGAGCTGTTCCCTGGAAAAGAATCAAGACACAATCCATCAGCTATTCTCCAAATCTCAACACTTTAATTTTTGAAAGTCGTATCACGTTCTGTGCAACCTATTTATAAGCTATAAGAAAGCTCTGTAGTTAAAAACGCTTTTCAATTTCTCTTCACATCCAGCTTTAACTGTCGGTCTCAATTTTAAGGTTTTATTTAAGTGTAAAAGACCAAAAGGACACTGAAGAGCAGCAGTGTTTTTCCCTTCACAGAAGCTAGATTACAAAAATACTATTGACTGTTAGGCAATATATAAAAAGTTTTCCCAAGAACTTTTATTTTTCCCAAGATGAAGCACAAATACAGTGATTTAAAAAGGTCACACTTTCGTAACCAAGTAATTAACAAACTGTTCCACAGACAGTAATTTTGGAATTCTGACTCTGCAAATTTTTTTGTACAACCCCGCCCATGGTTAGGAGATGAACACCCACACTGAACAAACTATTTGATCCTTTTTTTGCTCATATTAGCTACCTGCTGGCTCAGAGAAAAGAAACAGCTCAGTGCAGAGTGACACAAGCCCTGGAGCTGGTACAAAGGAAAGAACTCCCCAACAAGGAGAAGAGAAAGGCAGAACTGGAACAATCAACAGGTAAGCTTAGCTTGAGCCTTCACAGGTCACAACAAGTCACTGAATTAACAAGAAAGCTTACACGCTGTGGAAACTACTCATCCAGCAGCCATGAACTGAAATAAAACTGCATTTCAGGTAGCAGATCAAACAAAAAAAACCAAAAACATATTTTTCAGGCTTCAAACATATGTACTCTTTTCCTCCCTCCTGTGAAGTAAAGCCTATGTTTTGAAAAAATTAATTTCAGAGATGTTTCTCCTTAAACTTGTAAAATACAGGAAACAACGCGCCTGTGATGGTTTTCTTACCTTTCCTCCTATTCGGACCTGCGCTTGAAGCTTGGCCAGTTTTTCTTGGTTCATAGTGCTGCGTCTAAAGAATCAGAATGGGATACAAATGCAAGTTAACTATCAAAATACTATGAAAAATTCCACCACACTCCATTTTAAAAGTACTCTAAGCTGCGGTAGGTTTTTAAACTTACAGGAAACTTGCATCAAACAGATACACGTGAACAAAAAGCTTTAAAGCCACACCACTTTAAATAACACCAAGTGGCCCATCAGAGGTCTGTTTAGCCAAAGTGTCTGTACCATGATGAGGCAAATCAGCAGAACATTTCATTTTGCATCAGTCTGAGGTACTAACTGTGAATTTCCACTGACTAGGAATAGAACCCAAACCAGCACATATAGCACAAGGGCTTCTAGGGAAACAGCTTTAAGAGAGCCCATGGAGAGGCTCATCACTACAGTACTTTAAGTTCTATTTCAAAATAATGAATGTCTAGTACTTTTAACTAGTAAGCCAGTTCCAAACTCAGTGAGTTCGTGTCTTGGCAGATCTCTTACATGAACCCCTGGCAGCTACTCATTCAACGACTGGGAAGTTAAGTGGCTTCTCCAACTGGTCAGGTGGTTCCTGTAAAGGCTGGAAAACCTGAAATTCTGCAATGGGTGGAAAAACACCTCAAACCTTCCAAGGCAAGGAAGGCGTTTCTCTGCTCTGCCCCAAGAAATCACCGGGGACCCCCGGGAATAAAGGGGAGACCCTCTCTGCAAGTGGATGGTGCTGGGGAAGCGACGGGGAGGGGCAGAGGAGGCTCCCGCGGCCGAGCGGGGACCCAGCGAGGCCCCGGCACCGTCGGGACGGTCCCCGCAGGGAGAGGGACCCCGCCGGGGAGGCGGCAGAAGGGACCGGGGCAGGCAGGGCGGCTCGCCGGCCGCCCCCAAACCACGGGGAGCCGGAGGGGATCAAGGCCCCGTCCCTCGGGAGCCAGGGCATCCCCTCCCGCCCGGGTGCACCGCGGCCCCGGGGTAGATCCACGGGTCACCGGAGCCAGGGAGCGGCAGACCCCGCCACACCGCCTCCCGCCGCACGGCCTCGCTCCCCCCTCCGCCCTGAAGGGGACGGCTGGGCCCCGCG